CTTTTCTTTTTTTTTTTTTTTTTTTGCAGTTTTTGCCTGGGGCTGGGTTTGAACCCACCACCTCTGGCATATGGGGCTGGCGCCCTATCCTTTGAGCCACAGGTGCTGCTCTTGTCTTTTTAATTCTCACACATCTCTGCATGGCAGATGTCACTCCTTTCCTGTTTATAGATAAGAAGTCCAGGGTATAAGGGTAGTTAAGTAAATTTCTCAGACTCTTCCATTTATGGGCATTAGATTGGAACCCAGGTCGTGTAACCCCAATTCCAAACTCGGTGTCTTTCCATCCCGCTCTCCAGTAAAGCATACCTGGGGCCTGCGGGGTGTACAGCTGTTGCCCGTCTTCCTCAACACAGTGAGAGTTCTTCCGACCTTGCTGGGTTTCTGAGTTTTGCTTTGCTGTGTGGATGGCACTAATGTGGAGTCCGACCCTCTTCCATCTCTGCTCTCATGTTTTCTTCGTCAGCATCTGTTGCTTACTGTCCTGATCTTTCTTTGCTTTTCCTCCCAACTTGCTGCCATTTCTGCCTCGATTGCAGCTACTATATCTACAGTTTGTTGAATGATCTCCATTTTTTTGTCTCTTCTTTTCTTCTGTTCCTTCCAAACCCTGACTTTTATGCAGGAAGCTGGCTACATGCAGGTCCTGCCCAGCAATCAGACGTGCCTTTTCTACAGCTGGGACTAATGGATGGGCCCCAGTAGGTTGATTGCCTGGCCTCCCCTTCTTTTTGCGTCATTTATTTAATTGCTGCCTGCTGCTCCTGGCTCTTGGTTGATGGAAAGAAATGCCTTTCTAGCCCTATTTCCCCAGTTAATGTTAAGCTTAGGGTAAAGGGAAAGTAACTTACCTCCTCAGTGTTAAGAAAACAACTTCTAAAGACAACTAAACTCTGCCTGACTCTTAACCCCCAAATTAAGCATCTTCCCACATCTTTTTAGGAGTAGATAGAACATGAGTTACAAGTATTTTAATCAAGTAAATAAGGCTGTCATCATAGCCTTCAAATTTTACAGAGTAAATTAACACCATTCATTTCTTTTTTGATATCTTGGCTTTTGAAATCATGAGGATGATTTCTGTCTTGTTTAATCACTTATGCCTATGTACCTATAGTATCAAGAAAATGAATTATGTGGGCGGCTCCTGTGGCTCAAAGGAGTAGGGCTCTGGCCCCCTACGCCGGAGGTGGTGGGTTAAAACCTAGCCCCAGCCAAAAACTGAAAAAAAAAAAAAAATCATGTGACATTAAATATAGTAGCTTAAAATATTAAAACCACATATTAAACCTATGTTAAATAATCCATTTAAGAAGTTTTTACAAGTAGTGATTTATCACCTGGCAATTTCAATACCTAATTTTTCCTCCTCCAAGTACCTCTATTTGGAATTATCTGTATTTTATTTTTAGTGTCAAACATTAAAAAAATTACCTTTTTATCACTTGTAGTCTCTTTGAAATGATGTTTCTTATACTTTTTTATGCCTTAGGGTTTCACATATACGGAAGTTATTTGCTGGTGATACAATAGTTTGCTTAACTTGGGCCTCTGTTTTTTAAACAATATTCTGAAATTCCTCTTGGTAGCATGGTAGAATATTATCTTTTTAAAATTGTTTTTCAATTTTTTTATTCTTTAAAATTTTTTTATTGTTTGGGATTCATTGAGGATATAAAGAATTAGGTTACACTGATTGCATTTGTTAGATAAATTCCCTCTTATAATTGTGTCCTGCCCCCTAAGAGGTGTGCCATACACTGTGGCCTCCATTCTCCTCCTTCCTCCCCTCTCCCTACTTGCTCATTCCCCTACCCACCCTTGTATTAGCTCCTCAACTATCTTCATATTAGAATAGAGCACATTGGATTTTTGCTTCTCCATTATTGTGATGCTAGCTAAGAAGAATGTGTTCCACCTCCATCCAAGTTAATTCAAAAGATGTAAAGTCTCCATCTTTTTCAGTGGCTGAATAGAATTCCATGGTATACATACACCACATCCAGTTAATCCATTCCTGGGTTGGTGGGCATTTAGGCTGTTTCCACATTGTGGTAGGTATAGACTCAGCTGTGATAAACAATCTAGGTCAAATGTCCTTATGATAAAAGGATTTTTTTTCTGCTGGGTAGATGCCTAGTAATGGGATTGCAGGATCAAATGGGAGGTCTAATTTGAGATACCACCCTAACTCCAGTGAGAATGGCCCACATCACAAAGTCTCAAAGCTACAGATGCTGGCATGAACACGGAAAGAAGGGAACTCTTTTCCACTAGTGGTGGAACTGCAAACTAATACAACTTTTTTGGAAGGAAGTATGGAGAGTCCTCAAAGAACTCAAGGTAGAATAGTATCTGTTTGGAATTTGGCAGCTTTGATTTACTTTAATCTTGTTAACTTATCTTTGTAGAAATAAAAAATTTTAAGTACTCTAGATTTAAAATATTAAGTATATACTTTAAAAAATTGTGACTGTATGAGAATAGACTTTATTGTGACAAATAGGGACCAGTTACTTTCCTAAAATAATTTTTTTTTCTGAGACAAAGTCTCAAGATGTTGTCCTGGGTAGAATGCCATGGTGTCGTAGCTCACAGCAACCTTCAACTCCTGGGCTCAAGCCATCCTCTTGCCTCAGTTTTTCTATTTTTAGTAGAGAAGAGGGGGGTCTCATTTTTGCTCTGGGTGGTCTCGAACTTGTGAGCCCTCACAAAGTGCTAGGATTATAGGCATGAGCCACCATGCCTGGCTCCTAAAATAAATTTTTAAGTTGAAACTTTAAGGAAACAACCAAGCTTCCAACTTGGAAGTGATCTTTAGTAGACATTGTTTTGCCTTTGTATCATATTAAATGAGAGCAGATATGATAAATTAAGGGCATATAATTGAGGCTGATTATTAAATACAAAAATAAATATATAAGTGTGCCTAACAACAATACTACTGTTGTTCAGAGTGTTCATATTTGTGGCATAACACTAGAAAGATTTAATTTAATTAAAGATAAATTAATTGTATTATTTTACTTGAATGATCTTTGGATAGTTTTGATTATAAATTGAGGTCTCAAATGTTTAAAACAAAGAATTTTGATTTGCTGTACGTTTCACTTGTTAAAAGTTTTGCTGTCAGGCGCGGTGGCTCACACATGTAATCTTAGCACTCTAGAAGGCTGAGGTGGGTGGATTGCCTGAGCTCCCGGGTTCAAGACCAGCTTAAGCAAGAGTGAGACCCTGTCTCTAAAAATAGCTGGGCGTTGTAGTGGGCGCCTATAGTCCCAGCTATTCAGGAGGATGAGGCAAGAGAATCACTTGAGCCTAAGAATTTGAGGTTGCTGTGAGCTATGGCACCATGACACTGTACTAAGGGTAACAAAGTGAGATTCTGTCTCAAAAAAAAATTTTTTTTTTTTTTTTGCTTAGTTTTTTCACACTAAACAATTTTTTGCAAGTGGTCAGTGCACTTGAGACCAAGGTGCTCGTATAATATGGTTTTAGAAACATCATTAACATGTGAAATAGGACTTCCTGAAGAGTAATATAAAAATAGCTCATCATACTCTGGTATTTTTTCTCAGCTATTCTTATGTGTTTTCCATTCCTTTCTTCTTTCTCTTTGCTTAAACTGTGCTAGTTTTCCGATTGGGGTAGATAATAACATTTTATGGTCATAATTTACCTTATTTGCTGACTGTTTTCTAGGGGTACTCAAGATTTTCTGTATTATTGTGGTTAGACTTTATTTTGTTAGCTGTGACCTGAAACCACACTCAGCCTTTCTGTTCTTTTCTGGGTAAGAATTGGGAGGAGGGGCAGCAGATGACAGAGGAGCTGCTGGGTAGAGATTGTATCGAGACAGGCCACCAAGGAAAGCGTCTCAGTCCATTTTCTGTTGCGTATAACAGAGTACCTGAAACTAGGTAATTTACATAGCACAGGAATTTGCTTTTAGAATTTTGGAGGCTGAAATGTCCAAGGTTGAGGGGCTGCATCTGGTAAGAGCCTTTTTGCTGGTGAGGACTTCTCTGCAGAGTCCAGAGGTGGCCTGGGCATCACATGGGGTGGGGCTGAGTGTGCCAGCTCACATCTTTCTCTTTTTGTAAAGCCGCCAGTCCCACTCCCATAATGACCCATTAACCCATTAATTCATGAATAGATTAATCACCTCTTAGAGGCCTTACCTCTCAATACTGCCATGTTGGGGATTAGATTTCAGCAAATTTTAGAGAGGACAGATATTCAAACCATAGCAGAAAGTTTTTGGAATTTCAGTAGTTGAAAACAATCTGAGAGTTCTACTCATCTGTCCAGATTTGTTTAAGTTTGTAGGCAGATTTTTACCTAGGTATGTTTTAAATCCATGGTGTATGTCTGGTTTGGATACTGGTCATTTACTCAAGAGAAGAGACAGTTGGAAGGACAGGTTCAGCTAACTGTATAACAGAAACTCCATATAACCATCTTAAACAAAGCAGATGTCTGTTTCTGTTTCACATCCAAGTAAGGCCTGGGCAGTCTAGCACTGGAAGTGCTCAAGGATCCACACGTCTTCCAGCTCAGCATGCTGCTGTCCCTGAGTGGGCTCACCTCCTGGCTGGGTGTGGCAGTGGACCCTCCAGGCCGTGGGCGAGCTTCCAGGAGTTGCCCTCTCCTCCTCCACTTACACCTTACTGGTCGTTGCTCAGCTCCTGGCTACATGTAGCTGTGAAGAAACTGGAAAATGAGGTCTTTATTCTGGTAGGACCCATGCTCTACCCAAATTCAGGGGTTCTATTATTGAGGAAGGAGAGAAAAAAGATATTGGGGAACAAATAGCAGTCTTTTCCCCAGGAGTTAAAAATCTGCTATATGTGTTATATGCATATGTATTAGAATTATAACTGACTGCTTTGACTTTGATTATTAGGTCCCGAGGAAGGTGTGCATAGCACCCACCTCTACCAACATAGATAATTGAGGAAGCTGTGGTTGTGCTTGGGTTTCAGGACATTTTTTCTCCAAGTCAGATAATATGATGATGTGGTAACAAGGTTTGAGGGAGACACAATCTCACACGTGAGCCTAAAAACCCAACCATCACAGTTGTGAACTACAAGTGGTCAAATAACTACTTATTTATCTGTTCATTTAGAGACAGGGTGTACTCTGTTACCCAGGCTGGAGTGCAGTGGTGAGATCCTTGAACTCTTGGGCTCAGATGAATGTCTCACTTCAGTCTCCTGAATATCTGGCATCCCAGGCACATAGTACCATGCCTGCCTGGTTTCAGGACATTTTAAAGCCCCTTCTTTAAGAGTTTTAGAAAAATCTTTTAATCGCTTATAAGTTAATATTTGGTAAATCTTATGGCATAGAAATTGCCAAGAATTTTTATGTTTTAATGTTTGAAACATTTAAGAAATCAAAACCAATGAAGTAGTTCTATCACTTCTATTGGTTTATTAACTTAAAAATAGCTAATTATAGAGTATATTGAAATGAAATTTATTTTGAATTTATATTTTGAAAAGTGATTTTTGTCAGAGAAGGTTGGTGATATGTAGTTGTTGGGAGTTCCATTAATGACATACTCTCTAAGTTTATATCAAATCTTCACATTCAAACAAGTCTTAACTTCTCTGTTGATCCTTTTAGGGGAAAGCTAGATTGTTCATCCTGTGGAGAGGGCAGCAAGTGCACCTTATCAGACTGCTGTGGAGAGGGCAGCAAGTGCACCTTATCAGACTGCTGTGGGGAGGGCTGTGCGGCTGTGGGCAGGCTGGGCCTTGTATAGGCCAGGAAGGTTCTGGCCAGAGAAGAGGGGGGAACTGTGAACAGATTAGAGGAGTAACCAGTAAAGGGGGAGAGAGGGACTTCTCTGGGAGAGGGCCCTGTGCACAAACACACTCAGGTGGAAAGGCCGTACCAGGTACGGGAGTTAGCTGTGTTTACAGGTAGTGGGCATCTCGTCGTGAAGCTAAAAATAAAGTTGGAGATGTACATAGTGGCCAACCATAAAAATTGTCTTTTCTGTGCTGAGAAGTTTGAATTCTTTCCTAAAGGCTGTGGAAAACTACCAAGGGATAGAGAAAATAACAGTGTAATTCTAGCAATACTGTTCTGGGGATAGTGGATGAAAATGTCTAAGACTGGAGGAAAAAAGGCCAGTAAGGAGGTTGCAGATCCAGTCCAAGTCGTAGAATGTGTGGATGTCCCCTGGAAGCCAGGACTGGGGGGAGCGGGGAGGATGCAGTTCATGTTGAGGGAAGAAGAGCTGTGAGACCAAGACACCAGTGGGTGTCTGGAAGAAATAAGGAGGGAGGAGGCCAGTGACTTCCCAGGTCTACAACCAATACTCTCAGTTACCAAACAAAATCAGACAAATGAACTGAAAATCTCTCGGCAGCTTGTATGTAGTGTGCCAAAGTTGCACAGTTTTGCTGCTTTATTCTTTAAAGAGCTCTAAGAAGCATTTCATTCATGTTGAAAAAACAACTGCCCCCATGTTTTGGTTTATTTTAGGTTTTCATAGCTCATGGGGAGATGATGCCCTAAAGAATTGTTTTATAAGCCAGCAGATCTTTTAAGCTAAATTGTGAAGCTGATTTAATTCCTTTTCTATTACATATCATTAAAATGGTGAACTAGTTTTCTAGAATGCTGTTTCTTTACTGTGGCTTTAGTTGAGCTTTCTTGGCTACCAGCACACTAAGTAAAAATCTTTTAATTTTGTTGGAACATTTCTACAGTGACAGAATGGTTTAGATGACAGAGTGGTTGGTAGGTTTAACTGCTGACGGCTTTGTCTCTCCTGGTGTTTCAGCAGATTTCCTTTTAGGAGAAAAATGCATCCTTTTCCAGGACTAGCTTTCCTGTGGGAATCTTCAGCCATTTTTCATTTGACAGTCTTCAAGCTCTTTTCTGCCAGGCACTGATCTAAATAATAAAAGATGATAAATCGTCCACTCCACTCTCATGTGCACGCAGTCTTACATTTGAAATATAATTCAAGGAAAAGGAGTAGATCATAGTCTTACATGTAGACTTTGCTGACATGCTATCTTTGTAATGAATGTAAAATAAAGATTTTTGTTAGAAGTCCTTATATCAACATAGATGGTTCTCTCTCACGGCACCCTATGCCACTGTGTATGCAGTGTGCTCTGTTAGGGGCTGCTGCCCGTGGTGCAAATTGGGTTTGGTTGTAACTACTTGCTGATCAGGAGTCAATGTTTAAAAGGAAATGGGGTAGAATAGCCGGGCGTTGTGGTGGGTGCCTATGGTCCCAGCTACTCTGGAGGTTGAGGCAAGAGAATCGCTTAAGCCCAGGAGTTAGAGGTTGCTGTGAGCTGTGATGCCACAGCACTCTACCGAGGATGATAAAGTAAGACTGTCTCTAAAAAATAAAAAATAAAAATAAAGGGAAATAGGGTGGCTCTGGGCATTGGCCGTCATATCATCCATTAGGCAAATGATGTAGCGCTGAGATCCTGCTGACCTGGGCAGAGCTGGCAGTGCAGGTGGAGAGGGAGTGTATTCTTGAGCATGGCCAGAGACAGAGAAACTCAGGATTTGGCTAGTGATGTTTAGATTTTATGACTTGTGAAAAAAGGGTTTGATAAGTGGAATTCCTGTAGGAAAAATAACTTTGTTATTATGAATTTTATACAAATAACTGTTTAGAATACACTCTTTAATGCAGTTGCTTTTATAACAAAATGTATGTTTCTGTTTCTACAGACTACAACTCACATGAGACTCTAGAGTAGACTTTCAGAATCACTGACCACTTTTAAAAAATTGTATGGGTCACCTTTTAGGGAGACTGCTAATGTGTTAGTTTTTGAATTTAAATGCTGTTAGAAAAAGAAGGAGCCAGTGGTTATGAAATTATGTTTGAGAAAATAAATCAAAGATTCACATTGTGATGTTCTTAAGCTCTTTATTCTCACATCTGGACAGTAAAATGTCTCTAGCTGCTGGGAGGCAGAGTCCAGGAGTACTATGTAGTCACTAAAACCGAGTTTTAAAATCAGACAGACTGTGCCCCGCCACTAATTAGTTGTCCTAACCTTACAGCTGGCTGTTCATCATTGCTAAAGTCTAGTTCCGTAACTGTTACATGAGCCTGCTCTCTTCCTTTGTGGGCATTAATGGGAAGAGTCCATAAGGAAATATGTGTCAATTAGTTCAGAGCTTAGGAAAGAGCTGACACTAAAACTGTGTGTGTCATGGTTAGTACTGTCTGACCGAGGGTGAGAGCTTCACGTATTGTGGAAACATTGGACTGTATAGTCCTTATGTTTGGAATTTAAATATTTCTATAAGTTAGATGCAGATGAGAGAGAACCTTGTGATTTTTACATGGTTCAGTTGTTACATTTGATTTGTGTTTCATATTCAAAATCATGATAAAAGCTAGAGGAATCACTGAATTTATAACTAAACTATAGTGAGTTAGCAATAAAAAAAATAGGACCATATAAAATGGTTTACCATTTATTCTTCTTTATTGAATATAAATCTGTATTATAAATAGCTTATAAAGATCATATTTCTAAGATAAATTATTTTTATATATTCAAAAGAGAATAGTCTGTAAATGATTTATATCATACCAACTTGTTTTCCAAAACAGGACAGATAAAGGTTAAGAAACACACTATATCATTACATAAAAAGACACCCATGCTCCTTGTAAGTTTATTCACAATAGCATAATATGGAATCAACCTACATGTCCATTGACAGATGATGAGATGAAGAAAATATGGTGCATATGTGTGAGCATGAAGTATTACCTGGCCATGAAAAATGAATGAGGTCATGTCTTTGTCAGCAATAAGGATAGAACTAGAGGCTGTCATCTTATTTATTTAATTTTTTTTAGAGACAGAGTCTCACTTTGTCACTGTCAGTAGAGAGTGCCATGGCATCACAGCTCACGGCAACCTCTAGCTCTTGGACTTAGCCAGTTCTCTTGCCCTAGCCTCCCAGGTAGTTGGGACTACATGTGCCCTCCACAACACCAGCTATTTTTTTTGTTGCAGTTTGGCCAGGGCTAGGTTCGAACATGCCACCCTCCATATATGGGGCCGGTGCCTTACTCACTAAACCCCAGGCGCTGCCCATTTTTTTCTATTTTTTGAGACAGTCTCACTTTGTAGCCTCACTTGAGTGCCATAGTGTCATAGCAACCTCAAACTCTTGAGTTCAAGTGATCCTCTTACCTCAGCCTCCTGAGTAGCTGGGACTACAGGCAACCACAACACCTGGCTGTTGTTTAGGGGTGGGTGTCTCGCTGTTACTCAGGCTGGTCTTGAACTCTTGAACACAGGCAGTCCACAGCCTCGGCCTCCCAGAGTGCTTGGATTACAGGTGTGAGCCACCCTGCCCTGCTCAAGGTTGTTATCTTAAATACAATAACTCAGACATACAAAGTGAGACACCACACATTCTCACTTTTACTTGGGGGCTAAATAATGGGCATGCGTGGACATACAGAGGAGAATAGTAGACATTGGATGGTCCAAAGGTAGGACTGGGGTGAAGGATAAGAAATTACCTGTTGGATTCAGTGTACATTCTTTGGGTGATAGGTACAGTAAAAGTCCAGAGTTCACCATTATGCAATATATTCCAAGTAACAAAACTGCACTTGGATCCCCTTAAATCTATAAAAATAAACTTCAAAAAATGAAGAAAAGAAAACAGATCATTTAATTGTGATTCAGTTTTAGATTTAATAACAATTATGATAAACTCAGAAGAAGAAGAATAGAATTTCAGGAACATTATGATTTCAGTTATGGGGAATTTATACACTGAAAGAAAACCAGGGAAAATAATACAAAAATGTTGACATTTTAACAATGGGTTTTCCATTGAGCTTTGTGATAAGCAAGATGAAATAAATAAGATAGACTTTAGTTTTCATTGATTAATGTGTTTATCAGTAGAAAATTAGCTTTTCTCCTATCACTAAATTAAATCAGTGAAGTTATACTGTGTAATTCCTGGCACTAAATTATATGGCTGAAGCTACCATCACCATGTGTTCCAGTTACATAGGTGTTGCTGAATACTGTTAGCACAATGTCTTCAACTATAGTTCTAAAGAAA